AAGGAGATAAATGAGTGTATGCACTACAAGACGGTTTAAATAAATTATGAATTGAAATTTAATTATTTTTACAAAATTTGTAAATCACGTTTAAATATAAATAAAATTGTTATTTATTACATGTATGAAAACTATTAATTTAATTTTATTCATCTCGATTACTGAAATACATTGTGAGAAGAATTAAACTTGACAACACTATAGTTTTCCATAAGTTGGCTGCCTTGTGCGGTTCAGTGTCCCCACATGAGCGGACCAACGCCACAATTGAAGCTTTACTTGAGGCGTTGTAGGTTAATCGTAGCTATATTTCTCTTTGTTACAGTGTGTTTTTTATGTATCACGACGTCAAAAGCAACTTATCGTTTGGAAGGAAGAACAGTGACTAAAAGTACATATGAGAAAAGGCTCACTCAACTGAAAACTCGCTATAGTTTCTGCTATGCCACTTCGTAACTCTTTCCAAAGTCGCCACAATTCTACAGTGAATGTTTTACAAATCTAGTAAAAGTAAAAGTTTCAGTACATTATTATTCATGCCACCTGAAGGGTGTAGTGAATATAAATGTAATTTTGTAACATTATTCATAAAGGCTGAAATTATAAGTGTAGCAATTTTTAAAACTCATGGTACCATTTTTACATGTTTTTCACCTACTATAATACACGAGGTGACGATCTTCCATAAGATCACGTGTGAATTTAATAAGAATTAAAAACAAACTGCAGTAACGTTTGAACGGGTTAGTGAATTGAGTCCAAAATTTCCGATGGATTGCAAAATAAAACAACGAATGATCTACGCAGTTTCTATGCATTTTTTACCATCTTTAAGTATCTCCGATACATCCTTAGAAATATGTAGGAGTAAGTGTTGTGCGTCTTGTTGTCAAGGCCAGCGCCCAATGCCTGTCTGTGTTCGTTTGTGTTCAGTCCAGTGGAGAACAGCACAGCATCGCGTTACATGCTGGGATTGGCTGAGCGCGTGGCAGAATCCGGAGACGTGCTGAACGTAGCGGAATGTCTGGAGGTGGAGAAGGGGTCTGGGGGCAACATCAGATCACTCCTCGCAATGCCTATTCGAAATAGGCATTATCAGATCATAGGTAAGTGTATCATAGCAGTCTGAAGGCTTTGAGGCTCTCAGTAGAGGTAGTTATATCTTCTGGGACATAAATCCGTGTATTCCGTTAAATGTCAACAACGTTTCGGAAAAATAATTCTCCTCCACCTGCAGGGTCAAAAAATAAATCAGTGAAGAAATCACCATGAAGAAAACTATGCTTACCACCTGCTTCATGCTGGTCTCTTGCTAAGCTTGTTCTTCTATCCAAAAAATGAAAGCTACATGTTCTTCCGAAACATCGGTTTACTTCCAACGGACTACACGGCCGTATATCCCAGAGATCTAACTCTTCATAATGGTTTATGTATCCTCTTCTTTTCTGTAAGGTATATATTAACCCATTTTTTGGAGCCTTTGAATTGATAATTTATAAAAATGCTCCAATTAGTTTCTCCCTGATTGGACTGTCTGCTCTTATTCAATCATCCGAGAACCGCTGAAGGAAGCTTTATTAAATTGATTAGCAATGAGTTCAAATGAAATTGATCAACGTATTCCAGTGTCGGCTAAATATGAGCAGTTGCAACTGGTATATTTTACGAAGACCTACACGCGCTCCTGTGTCCAGCTATAGCAGAACTCTCTAAATATTTACCTGAGGGAAAAATATTTCGAGTGTAATGAAACATTACTTCCAAGCTAATTCTTTTCTCTAAGACGCGCGAATTTCTGCTATTTGAGAACGGATTTTCATTCCATGCCACATCCTTCAGTACAGACCCATTCGTGACGATTAAGCTTGAGAATGGTAAGAAAAGTAAACACAAAGTTAGCATTGCCCTAATTTTATATTACTATCTTAAGAATAAATTTTCTGCTGTGAGCGGAGTTTAATCAAAATCCTGATATTCAGAGCTACAGCCACACACCCAAGAAGCCCCTACGTTACCAGAGAACATTTTCACGCGATTGACAGTACAAGGGGTTTGGATTGGTCATTGGGTTTATTGAACATTGTTGAAGTGCCTTGCAAGCTTTTTTTTACCGTGTAATTAACTTGATCAGCCCAAATTAAATCGCTACGTAAAATTATACAGAAGTATTTACAATCGCTCTCTTCCGGAATTACTATTCCATAATGAATAATGTAATGGTTCCGTCACACGGGCTCTCGTGAAAGAAACTGCCTCGCTTTTAGCTGAATTAATTACCATCGCATTTTCAACAGCCCACTACCCCAGCCTGTGCTGCAAAATATCTGCAAATTTTCAATACATTTATTGTTTATAATTTTCCTATATATTATACAGTCATTTGCGAGAAGTCTAATAGTTGAATCAGTATTTCTCCAAATATCATTTACGTACGCGAGGAACAGGTGCGGACTCAGTACACTTCTTTGTGGTACTCCTGGCGTTACTCTGACTTCTTCCGGTAATTGCCCTCCTACTCTGACTCTCTGTTTACGTACGCGAGGAACAGCAGTGGACCCAGTGCACTCCCTTGCGGTACTCCTGACGTTACTCTGACTTCCTCCGGTAATTGCCCTCCTACTCTGACTCTCTGTTTACGTACGCGAGGAACAGCAGTGGACCCAGTGCACTTCTTTGTGGTACTCCTGGCGTTACTCTGACTTCCTCCGGTAATTGCCCTCCTACTCTGACTCTCTGTTTACGTACGCGAGAAACAGGTGCGGACCCAGTGCACTTCTTTGTGGTATTCCTGGCGTTACTCAGACTTCCTCCGGTAATTTCCCTCCTACTCTGTGTACGTACGCAAGGAACAGCAGTGGACCCAGTGCACTTCCTTGCGGTACTCCTGACGTTACTCTGACTTCCTCCAGTAATTGTCCTCCTCCTCTGACTCTCTGTTTACGTACGCGAGAAACAGGTGCGGACCCAGTGCACTTCCTTGCGGTACTCCTGACGTTACTCTGACTTCCTTGGTAATTGCCCTCCTACTCTGACTCTCTGTTTACGGCCCAAAAGGAATGCCCTTATCCATACAACTACCTTCGAGTCCACTCCTGAGTCCTCAATTTTCGTAAGCAGCCGATCATGGAGAACTAAATTGAAGGCCTTAGGAAAATCTATTATAATAGCGTCCATCCTACCTCTTGTTATCGAGTGAGTCTGCGATGTCCTGAAAACCGTGATTACTTGACTTTCATATGAATATCCCGACCTGAATTCATGTTGACCCTCCAAAAACCAATCTTTTTATCCCAGAGTTTCCTCAGGTACGATGAAATAACTTGTATACCGAGTCGTTGCCCAGAATTTGTTTATATATACGCGTATAATGGCTTTTACCGTCGATACCAGACTGTTCGTTCGCATTATTATCATTTTAACTGTGCTTTTACTTAGGATTAGAATAGAATGTCACTCTATATTTCGGCTTTTCATGAAGCAGTCACCAGGCGATAAATTCTACAAATTTAACTATTGAGTGTAAATTTGTATGTGGGTTCCTATATAATAATTTTGTCCATTAATATAATCGATGCCGATCACAGTAGCCGAGCGGTCTAAGGCATGTACTGTCTTCTCTCGCTTGGAAACCGGGATCGTGGGTCCGAATCTCACTCAGGGCTTGGATGTTTAGTTTGTGGTTGTGCGCGTTTTTCTATGTTTGTGTACAGGTAGAGGCCTTGAGACGAGCTGATCACCCGTCCAAGGAGTCCTACCGAGTGTGTAAGATCTAGAAAAGCCGAAGTGAACGGAGAAGTTCATGGAGGTAGGCCTAGGCCCGCTGGGGCTGTAGTGCCAAGGAAAGAAAAAAAATATATATATACAGGATGTCCCAGGAGGAATGGACCAAACTTCGGGAGGGTGTTCCTTATGTTAAAGTATACCGATATAACCCAAAACACCTATGTCCAAAGTTGAACGTTACGGAGATAATGGCGCGAGAAAAGTGTGGTCTTCTGGCTGGTCCACGCATTATAGCTCTCAGCTGAGACCCTTATCTGTTTGTTCTTGAGTGTTGTGAGTCACACAACCGTAAGCTCCTACAGAGCCTACAGATTACGTTGCGGCGGGGTCGTGAATGTGTGGTAAATTAGTTGTGTGATGAGTTGCTGAAATCCCTTTTGTGTTTTCACATGTTGAATTTTGTGTATGGATTTTGCGGTGGCAATGCACGTGCTGCTGTTGAAGAGTACCAAAGGCGTTTTCCCGATCGAAGGATTCCATCTCGACGTGTATTTACGCGAATTCACAAGACATTGCGTGAGACTGGTTCTCTTCCGAGTGTTCCTGTGCAGTCGGAAAGGGAGGATAAGGCGTCGTTTACCCGGGACGGTGTAAATAATTTGCGAAATATTCATACGTGGTCCCACAATAATCCACATGAGATAATGGAAACGAAATTCCAAAAGAGATTTTCTGTGAATGTATGGTGTGGTGTGCTTGGGAGCAGGTTGATCGGACCTTTTGTGTTTCACAACAATTTAACTGGAAACACGTA